AAAACTTAAGTTTTCTTAACATTTATTAATGGATCCATCATGGTCTGTCCTGTGCAGAATAACAAAACACTAAATTATTTCTTTATGAAAACCTCTGTAACTTTGCTCCAGTTAATTTTAGCAGCATGAATCTTTGTACAGGTTGGATTTATGGTTTCTAAGAGTTTTAGCCYGATTCAGTATGGTTTTAAATAAGTTACATACTGTCTAATGAAACAATTATTCAGGTGAGAGTGAAAAAATAAATTAGATAAATTATGTTCCATCCTCAATATCTCTAAAACTACAGCAGCTGTTTTAATACTCACACTTCTGATGAAATCTCCCAAGTGTTAGCTTTATTTTGATACTAAGATTGTTTAAGTAGAGTTTGTAAAAGTTGAGATACACTCAGTTATATTTTGGCATAGTATTTTGAGTTAAAAAAACCTCAAGAAAACCCCTTGAGGCTTAAKAGGTTTATGTTGCTTCTTCGGTCTTACCCGTGTTGGCTGCTCCAGCCTGATTGGTCATGCCAGGATGGGTTCCCATCATGCCTTGCTGCTGCAGTAAGGAGTAGGGAGCGTTGTGCCTGTGGTGGGGGGGGAAAGGCCTGGTGGGGCTGGAGCCCACGCTGCTGTCCAGAGACAGGCTCCTGACTGGAGGAGCACCTTGCTGCTCTGCTCTGGCACTGCTGAAGCCTGCTGGGATGGAAAACGTGCTTCGTTAGTGTTGATGTAAAACTGCATGCCGTAAAAATCCAGAAATATTCAAACGGGTCCAGCTGCAGACGTACTGGCAGGGCCGACGGRGGGGAAGGCTCTGTGTTGGCCGGGGGAGCCACTGCGGTCACTCAGCTGCAGRATGTCACTGATGATGGTCTGTTTGTCCACGGACGAGCCGGGCGGCACAGCCGATGAGGAAGATGAAGAGGGTGGAGGCTGACTGGGAAACAGATGCTGCTGGCCGCCATTTTGCAGGTCCTCTAGCAGGTCCTCCAGCTCAGAGGTCTGAGACCAGCAACAATAAATATATATATTTACTGTATACAGCGGGTAAAATAAGTATTGAACACGTCAACATTTTTCTCAGTAAATATATTACTAGAGGTGCTAATGACATGAAATTTTC